ACCTTCAGCAAAAGAGCATTGCAAGCTTTGGATTCAATGGCTCGCTTGATTCGCTTGGGGTTCGTCACGGTCAAGTCGTCACTGGCCTCTGTCAGTCATTGTGGCTCATTCTACGATAAAATGCGAGCACTTACCCGACAATCTGGAAGTTGGATGTCTTGAAAAAGTAGCTCCACGCCTCCCAGTCGTCCTCAGCGAAGGGATCTTCGATTGAAACAATTGGATATTTGCTCGCCAGGGACTTGTACAAGTCGGCGAGTTGCTCGTAAGTGATCCATTTGCTGGGATCGCTGTCAGGGTTCTTGAAGTCGAGATCGTACTTCTTCTCCTTCTCTTTGTAGAACTCGCTAGAGGCGACATCCATAGCGATGTTCATCTTGCCGGTGTACCCGGCTTCTTCGATTGCAGCAGAGATCAGGTCCAAGGCTTCTTCAGCGGTCTGGATATCTGGAGCGACACCACCTTCGTCACCAACATTGCCAGCGGATTGACCGTACTTCTTCTTTGCCAGAGACTTGAGTTTCTGGTAGACTTCGGCACCCCATCGAAGACCTTCATTGAAGGATGGTGCTTGGCTGTGTTGGTTGTTAGCTCAGCTTGGAGTGATAAGAGATGTGAAAGGTCATACTCGGGGACGATCATGAATTCTTGGAAAGCAAGACGACCACCAGCATGGGAACCTCCATTGAGCACGTTCATGAACGGGACGGGTAGCACATATGGCTTCTTTGTGCCTGCTAGATCGGAAACATGTGCGTAGAGAGGAACTCCTTTCTGAGCAGCACCAGCTTTGGCGACCGCAAGGCTGACGCCTAAAATGGCATTGGCACCAAGGTTGGTCTTGTTTTCTGTTCCGTCAAGCTCAATCAGGAACTTGTCGATCGAAGATTGATCCGTGCAATCAATGTTCTTCTCAATCAACTTCGGTCCGATGATGGTATTCACATTGTTGACGGCTTTCAGAACACCTTTCCCTCCCCAGTGTGTTTTGTCACCATCTCGGAGCTCGCAGGCTTCGTGCTGACCGGTGGAGGCACCAGAAGGGACGATGGCGCGGTGTAGACCAGTCTCAGTCACGACATCGACCTCAACCGTCGGGTTACCCCGGGAGTCGTAGACGGAGCGGGCGTGCACCTTCACGATAGGCATGGCTGTCGGTGGGTCAGTGAATGGAAGATATCGGAACAAGGGCAGACGATGAGTTGAGGGCTGAAGGTGTCATGCACTCAGGGAAAGTGAAGGGGAAGAGGAAGAGGAAGGGCAACTGCAAAGAGCGCAGAGGAGCTTCGTCAAGACGGTTGAGCAAAGCTTTTGAGAGGCACTTACTTGGTGTTTGCAGTGGTGTGACAGAAGGGTTGAGTCAGTGAACAAATGCTTAGTGATAAATCCCAAGGAGGAAGTAGGAGGACGTCTGGGCTTCTCTATCGATGAGGGAATGGAGAGGAAAAGAAATATGCAGTGACGAAAACTATCAAGAGCAAGTGAAACTTTTTGTTGCTTTTTGGGGTGGGGGTGTTGGCAAGAGCGAGTGAAGGTATTGATCGCGACAAAACTTCCAACTCAGCAGTTTCCCTCAGCAGCGACGCAAGGCGGGGAACATGATTGAGCCCCTCCAGAGGTCCAGTGCTGCGGATTGGGGAACTAACGCATTCGGAGGGCCACTGACAGCGGGTGCAGCGGATAGGTCAAGGACACCAGGGGTCCTTCCGCGCCCAACCCGCCCAATCCACTGCCTAGAAGGCTCTCGTTGGGCCGCTACAATCATTGGCAACAGAGGACAAGGTTAGTGGTAGATCGGGCTCGGTGAGAGCACGTGATCATGCTCGTTATACCTTCCCAGATTCACATTGCTCTCCCTGCGCCTTTGCCGCGTAGTGCTATTGGTACCTGCAGCGCGCAAGCTTCCCATTTCCTTGGGCTATCAGACAATCACCGATTTCAAATCTACAGTACCTGCAACATCTCGCACCCTAGTTTTTGGAGCACGGGTTACTACACTCTTCCGCTCTTCCCGTCGATCTCATACATAATCCCTCCCCACAGATTCCCAACACAGACCGGCGTACACTTGCCTCTCAAACAAACACGATGGACGGAGGCGGTGATCCAGAACGGCAGCAGGCCCTCGAACAGTATAAAAACAAACTTCTAGAGTCTCGAGAATGGGAAGCCAAGTTGAAAGCGCTGAGAATGGATATCAAGGGACTCCAGAAGGAGTTTGAAACAACAGAGGAGAACATCAAAGCACTGCAAAGTGTCGGACAAATCATCGGCGAAGTCCTGAAGCAGCTTGATGAGGAGCGATGTACGTTTGCCGAAACCACAGTGTCATTGGAAGATGTTAACATACTTTAGTCATTGTCAAGGCATCCTCAGGTCCCAGATATGTCGTCGGCTGCCGGTCCAAAGTCGATAAGTCGAAATTGAAACAAGGCACGCGAGTGGCACTCGACATGACCACCCTGACTATCATGAGAATGCTCCCCAGAGAAGTCGATCCCTTGGTCTACAACATGTCTTTGGAAGATCCTGGACAGGTCTCCTTCGCTGGTATTGGTGGTTTGAACGAACAAATCCGAGAACTGCGGGAGGTTATCGAGCTGCCGCTCAAGAATCCCGAGTTGTTCCTCCGAGTAGGTATCAAGCCTCCCAAAGGTGTTCTACTCTACGGGCCTCCCGGCACGGGAAAGACGCTGTTGGCGAGAGCAGTCGCAAGTAGTCTGGACACAAACTTCTTGAAAGGTGAGCCCCAAGTCGTCACAGGGATTCAAAATCCATGCTGACTTTACGGTAGTTGTGTCATCTGCTATTGTCGACAAGTATATCGGCGAGTCGGCGAGGTTGATCCGCGAGATGTTTGGTTACGCGAAAGAACACGAGCCTTGTATCATCTTCATGGACGAAATCGATGCCATCGGTGGGAGACGCTTCAGCGAAGGAACATCTGCCGACCGAGAAATTCAGAGGACGTTAATGGAGCTTTTGAACCAGCTCGATGGTTTCGATTACCTGGGAAAGACCAAGATTATCATGGCTACCAACAGACCGGATACCCTGGATCCCGCTTTGTTGCGAGCAGGGAGATTGGATCGGAAGATTGAGATTCCACTACCCAACGAGGTTGGGCGCTTAGAGATCTTGAAGATTCACGCTGCTGGCGTGGTGACGGAAGGAAATATCGACTTTGAAAGCGTGGTCAAGATGAGTGACGGTCTCAACGGCGCCGATTTGCGAAACGTCGTCACTGAAGCCGGGTTGTTCGCGATCAAGGATTACAGAGATGCTGTCAACCAGGACGACTTCAACAAAGCGGTGAGAAAAGTGGCTGAGTCGAAGAAACTCGAGGGCAAGTTGGAGTATCAGAAACTGTAAAATACGACCCGTCGGTGGGATCTACTGTACTGTTACGGCGCATAGCGAGACGACCCTTGGGGTTGACTCAAGAGTGGCAGCGGGCAATGATAGATGGCTGCGATATCCAAGGGCGATTCCACGCTATGCCTGCATGAATCCCATGGCGACCCGCCACCATCTCTGGAGTCCTCTCGCCTCCATACACGTGGCCATTTCTTTGACCGTGGCGACTTCTTCCAGACTTCCCAGTCTTTCGTCGTCCTGTTGAGGGTCATCGCGTTGAAGCTCGGATGAGATAGCATGAACTGGCGCAGCCAGGTGGTAGTCTTTGTATCTCAGGTCACGGACCGTGTCGACCCATTTCTGGACGTTGGATCGATCGTAGCCTCGGACATACATGACACCAGGGATTCCCCCTGATCGAAGCAGAGCGTAGCACTGAAATTGTTTGGCGGCTGCTTTGAGCCTGGCGACCTTCTTCCTAGACGTGATATGGTGGGTTCGGATCAGGGCATGGTATGCTACACCTGGCATGCTTCAGCCACGTGTGGCGAGGGGAGAAGGACGAGGAGTACAATAATTTCTCCCGATACGAGATGGCGAGGTTTGTGATTCTAGAAGTGAAGCCGAGCAAAGCTTGGATGTTGAAGACTGGCAGTAATGGGCGCTGCCGGCAGAATGTCGGCTTATATCCGTCTATGCACTGTGGCACCAACAATCGACGTCTCACATCTTCATCTCCTCCTCGACATTAACGACCAAAATCGCATGTTGACCCTCGAGACATGGCCCCAAACGGAGACCCCAAGCAACAGCCTCCGTTCCTCCCCTCCCGACTCTGCAGTGAGCAAAGACTCAACCTTGTAACCACGTGAAAGAGGCGGACTTCTGCGCACTCTGTCCACCCCTTAGGCACCCTTGGGCAACCCGTCAAGCCGTGTCCTTTTGGCGCCGAGGCTTTCCCCCGCATTAAGGATCTTGCACTTGTGAAGCTCGATTGATCAAACTAAGATGGCGGCATTCGGCACAGACCACAATGAGCCTGTTTGGGAACGGGGGAGCAGATGAGAACAAACGCATTCCACGCCGAGTCGCAGTCTGAACATGTCCTGTTGCCAGCATCACCTCCTCCATGTTCAACTTTCGCTCACCTGTCCTGAACGTCGACGAGGGGAAAAAAGTGGTCAACTTTCTCCATCGACAGCGATGATTAGTTGCCGGCAAGATGATGCCATAATTGCCGTCGGTGTCTCGACCAGCAGAAGCGGATGCTAGCCTCGGTACATGCAATGCACTTCTCGATGCCAATAGACGATGGATGCCCATGGGGCTGTCGAGAGCCACGCCATTTGCGGATTTGACCATCCATGGATCTTTTCTACACACTAGCACCACCTCTTACAAATGCTCTATGCCTGCTGCCGGCTAAGCGGTTCCTTTGCCTTTACCCCAGTTGTTCTGCAATTTCGTCTTCTACTTCCCTCCTGCTTCTGTTGTGCGCCCTAAGAAGCCTGAGCATCGTGGTGTGGTATTCAAAGCCTGTCGTTATGGACCGCTGTTTTCAGTGAATCCCATTCTACTTGTATACAGACTTGTGGCGGTTCGACAGAGCTAAAGTTCGGACCAAGTCCCCATCTCTTGTCGTCATGTCAAACTCTCAACATGACAATTCAAAGACAATCAACGAGGCCATACCAATCGATGCTCCTCGCAGCAAAGAAGTTGCGATTGAGGCGACAGCCGTTGTTTCTTTGCCACCAGTAACCCTCCAAGATGGCGGACTTCGGGCATGGCTACAAGTCATTGGATGTTTCCTTGTCTTCTTCAATGTCTGGTAAAGGGAATTGTTCCTTGTTGGGAGACAGATTGCTGAAATATGACCGTGAACTTAGGGGCTTTACCTTTGCATTCGGTCTCTTCCAAAACTATTACGAGACGTCCTTTTTGAAAACCAGCTCTGCGTCCGACATCTCTTGGATCGGAACGGTTGCATCCTACCTCTTGATCGTCATTGGCATCATCTCTGGACCATTGTTTGACCTCGGTCACTACCGCAGTATGCTTTTTGGAGGTGCTGCAATGTCGTGCTTGGGGATATTCATGTTGAGCTTGTCAAGCCAGTACTATCAGATCATATTGACCCAAGGTATCTGCACTGGTCTGGGCTGTGGTGTTCTCTTCATCCCCGGCATGGCACTCGTTAGCCGCTCATTCAAAACCCGGAGGGCAATTGCACTTGGTGTTGTGAGTTGTGGCGCTCCATTTGGTATGTGAAAGATTTGGTTGAATTCAACTGCAACTCTTACTGACTGGCGAAACAGGGGGCATCATTTACACTATCGTTTTTCAGCAGCTGATCGACTCCTTGGGTTTCGCTTGGACCGTCAGAGTCATAGGCTTTATCATGCTTGCGTCTTATCTTCTCGCCTTCCCGCTCTTGCTTTGGGGCGCCACAAATTTCGGTGATATTAGTTCTGGCACCACGCGGAAACTCTTCGATAGAGCAGCTTTCAAAGATATCGGGTTCTGGTTTTATACCTGGGCAAACTTCTTTGTCAGTCATCCTTAGGCCAGAAAAGCTGTCTCCGTCGATCAAAGCTGATTGTCACAGTTGTTTACCGGCTATCTCGTCCCTTTTTTCTATATACCCAGCTATGCACAGTTTGTTCTGGGCACATCACGAGCCCTCGCGCTGTATTCGGTTGTAATTGCGCAAGGATCTTCGGTGGTGGGACGAATGATAGCATCGACTGCTGCGCTGCACATCGGCGTGATGATTCCTTGGTTGATATGCGGCTTCGTCTCCGCCATTCTTTGCCTCGCCTGGATAGGCATTCACAGCATAGGGGCGTTCTGCGCCTTCACCGCTCTCTACGGTAAGCTGCCCCAAGCCTTTGTTGCAATCACAGTCGTGGTATTGACTGGCATTCAGGCTTCTTCAGTGGCGCGCTCATTCCACTCCCACCTAGTATATTCCCTGTTGTCTGCCCTGATCCAAAGGTTTTGGGAGCCCGACTCGGTATGGCTCAAGCAATCGGCGCCACCGCCTCCCTCATCGGCAGCCCGATCGCCGGAGCGCTAGTTGGTGATGATGGACGCCATTATGTGGGACTACAACTCTTCAGCGGGCTTGTGATGATGGTCGGAACTTTGTTTCAGCTATGCCTTTGGTTCACCTTGGTCAAGAAGAGAGACTGCAAGCTTCTCATTTGATCCCACACTCCAGAAACAGACGGATGAGGGTTCAATATATCGTCAATCGCTGCGCGAGTCCAACGGTTGCGACCCGCCTCAACGTTCTTCGCGAAGCTTTATACCAGGGTTTCCAGTCGCACGGTTTATCTTAAGATCGCGCGAACTTATTCGGACGCACGACATAAAGGCAATAGAGAGATCAACACTCGTGACCTCCAGCTGACATCCCATAAATAGCACCTCCGTCTTTCGGCCCCTGCACTCCACATGATCTTCCCCGGAGATCACGACCCCAAAACGCCTCACAAAAGGCATGTATTCCCGCACAGCAAAGTAAGACAGAGGTCTTCTTACTGGTCAATCTTCGACAAACAGTCTACCACGATGCCTCTTGGGCTGGACGACGATGAACTCGAAGCCTTCATCGGCATATACAAAATGAGACCAAATTCAGAGATCAAGGACACACGTCCCCCACAACGGCAAAGACCCGACAGAGATTCTTGCCTCTCATTGGCGACAGGGCCGTCGACTCGACATGATCTGTCGTGTGGTCGAGGAAGGGAGCAAAAAGAGAAAGAGTTACAGCATCCCAGTCCAGTCGAAGAAGAAAGATCCGACAGTCTCTTTAGTTCGCCTGTAACGGCCTCGCCCCGGACGAAAGCAACTATCCACAGTCTGAGGGAGGGCAAAGGCGACACCAAGCGCTATAGTTTTCTACACTGGTATGACGAAGCGCAACAGGAGCCTCGAAGACTGACCCACAGCGCTTCTCTCCCTCCTATCTCATCTCTTCAATACCAGCCAACACCTGCAAGAAGTACTTTATGGGGGCAGTTCAGTTGGGCGGGCGAATTCGAGAAGGAGCTGCGAGATATCGAAGTCCAACTCACCCGCAAGACCAAGGCGAGATCGGCTGCTAAGTCTTCCCATGTTCGGAGTCAGTCGGCCACTTCATCAACGAGCTCTTCGCAGTCTCAAACTCAGAAAGGGACCTTGAGTTTCTGGAAAGTGAAGAAGGACGCGCATTTGCAGGGGACGACTTCGTCATCCACCAATACGGATGATGGCGTCGGTGCTGCAGAACAATCTGCCCTCAGTGCCGCTGTTCCACCGAGACATACAAGCACAGAAAAACGATCGTCGACTCGCTTCGATTGGTTAGTGAAGCATTCTGCAGGGTTGTGGTAGTGGCACTATCGGCACAGATAGTGGCGGCGGTGGTGCTAGTCCACATGATCAAGGACCTCGAGTTCGGGAGGGCGTTTCGAGGATATGAGTATTTCGAAAATCCTGCCGAAATCCCTCGAGTGCTAAGGGCAACGGCAAGTGCAGCGTTAGCATTTTATGGTGTGGTTTGAACTTTGAGGTGGTCGACGTTGGTTGTACTGAGAAATGAGAGAGGAAGAAGCCGTAACACACGAAGGTTACTACCTCGTAAGAACACAAGCATACATTGAGTTACTTGGGTGGGTTTCGGTCAGAATTGAACATCGAGATTCGAGTCTCGACCTGTATGGAAGAGCTATTTTTACAGGACCACAGGACCGCCGAGGGGGTATTCCACCGTCAAAGTACCTGGCGTGTGACGAGGGAGGTCTGATATACACAATATAAAGTTGTCAGGGAGCTGGGCGCAGCGACAGAATATTCGTGGAGTATACCGGCCAATATGTCCTTCGCCCTGTTGCACCATTTTGCCGCAGTTTCACGTATGGCCGTGACTCCTTGATTCCAGTGAGGCGGGCTTTTCTTCGATGGCTGAGAGAAACGTCGACTCTGCTTCAGATAGATGTGCTGGTTCTGCTGAAAACCAAACACATACGACGAGCAGAGCGAGAAGCCCCCAACAATGACAGCGTCTACTTTGGATACTTCTTCCAACCTCGTCCGTGGCCCTTTTGTTTCCACTCTCTGATCAAGTCGGGCATGCCTTCCATTGCCTTGCGCCTCTTCTCCAACGTCGCCCCCATGTGTCTCTCCCATTTGTGACCCTTGACCTTTTGTCCCTCGCCGGTGCCCCTAATCCTCAATCCCCTCTCGAGCAACCGCGACTCCTTGAACGCCGAGGATTTCCGCCCAGGCGGAAGGAGCTCTTCTATGCCGAATTGCTGTGCGATTTTTACCAGATCTGCCTGCCGCCGCAGCCCGATCTTGGGGCCGGCCCATCGGCCAGTCACGAAGTTTTTGCGTGGCAGGAAGGGGTTCGGCGGGAATTTCTGCAGCGCGCTGGATGTCGGTATCGAAGTCGGCGTGGGAGGAATTGCTTCCTTGGTGGTCTCGACTCTTAAAGACTCCGTCGTCGACGACTCTGTCTGTGAAGAGGATGCGGGTGCAGGTACTGAGATGGGCTGGGCCAGGATGCTCGCGACGAGGCGCGAGGGTGGTGAAGAAGCAGAGGCTTGATTCTGTATTTCCGCAGCTCGGGCGACGGCTGCCTCCTTCGCTTCTCTCCGCGTCAACGGTATCGTGATACCTGTGAATTTGGCCGAGTACAACTGGGGAGGATAACGGGCGAAGAAGTTCTTCAGCCGGAGTGGCAGAGCACTGAGCTCCGCCATGGCAGCGGTGCCGGGAGATCAATGACAGGTCAAGTGGTAATCAATTGGACGGATCGTGATGAGGTGCCTTTGTCCGTCGTCTCTGCGAGAAGGCTGTGGTGTCGTCCTATAGGGTCTGCCGAATCTTATCTAGGTGATCAAAGGAGCATCACCATGAGCGGGTGTGAGAGATTGAGCATTCACCTCTTTTAGAAAAAGTTGTCAGAGCGCGGATTTCAGGACAAAATGCGGCGCAGGCTTGGCAGACGGGAAGTTCATCTGCTGCTTCAGCCTCTTGCCGTTTTTTTCCCTCTCCACATGTTTCTTCTGCCCCCAACGTCCTCAGTATCCCTACGAGTATTACATGCTGCGGAATACTGTCTTCTGTATTCCTGCCACTCAAAGAATATTCCTGAAAATACTCGACGCACTTTCGTCGTCGCCTGCGCTGTCCGGACTGTCTCTCTTGGGCCGTAACCCAGCCTAGTCCCGATGGACGCCTACGGTGGAAACGATGAGGAGAGCGCCGAGTTGCGGAAGCTCTTGGCCGAGGTGGTAGGTTGATATCTAGGCGATGGCCATGTGCTCCTGGGCTAACGTCTGGCGCACGCAGAACGATGACTCGGACAACTTTGAGATCTGGGAGAAGCTCGTCCGCGCCGCCGAGGCCCTCGAGGGCGGAATCAATAGGAACTCGAGTTCGCAGGCGATCACGGCCGTCCGGAGTGTCTACGACCGCTTCCTCTTGAAGTTTCCTCTTTTCTTCGGCTATTGGAAGAAATACGCCGACCTGGAGTTCTCAATAGCCGGGACCGAAGCCGCCGACATGGTGAGGGAGTTTGTTGCGAACAGAAGAGAGACTCGCATGCTAAAAGGATGGACAGGTTTACGAACGTGGGATCGCCAGCGTCACCAATTCAGTGGATCTGTGGACAAACTACTGTTCATTCAAGACCGAGACAAGCCACGATTCCGATGGTATTCGAGAGTAAGTATGAAGCATGTGTTCCCTCTTGTCGAGAACCTAAACATAGCATGACACAACCTCGTTTGGCAGAAGGAGCTGGCGATGAAATCGATGATGATGGCCACCGCAGCTTTGGTGAGCTCATCGTCGCTGTCCCTCCCCTTCCGAGCTTGCTTCTCACTCATCACCAGTCAGGTGCTTTGATTTGATTTGCCCGAGAATTGGGCCTTTGCCCGCCCACCCTTTCTGCAGGACCATCTCAACCTTTGTTGCAAAAGAAATTGAAGGACTATTATCACGCGTACATTCCCCATACTCCCATGTCTGCTTTCTCCCTCCCATTCTCCCAAGTCCCTCGCAAAAGGTAGTGCACAATAATACTAACTAGCGGATGATCAGGCTCTTTGAGAGAGGAGCGGTTTGTGTCGGCCTCGACTTCCTCGCCCATCCCTTCTGGGATAAATATGTTGAATTCGAAGAACGCATGGAAGGATTCGACCGAATCTTCGCCATCCTCGGCCGAATCATACACATACCGATGCATCAATACGCGAGATACTTTGAGAAGTACCGGCAGATGGCACAGTCACGCCCGCTTTCAGCCATCGCTCCGCCCGGCACTCTCACGCAGCTGCAGATGGATATCGAGAACGAAGGAGCCGGCTACAAAGCCGGCCGAAGCCAGCCAGAGGTAGAGCGAGAGTTACGGACCCGGATTGATAACTATCACCTCGACATCTTCCGACGGACACAGAACGAGACTACGAAACGATGGACGTATGAATCGGAAATCAAGCGACCATATTTCCACGTGACGGATCTCGACGAAGCTCAACTGACTAATTGGCGCAAATATCTCGACTTTGAAGAATCAGAAGGTGATTACACCCGCACCCAGTTTCTCTATGAGCGCTGCTTGGTCACTTGTGCGCAGCACGACGAGTTCTGGTTAAGATACGCCCGGTGGATGCTGGCCCAGCCGGGCAAGGAAGAGGAAGTTCGAAACATCTATCAAAGAGCGTCTTGCTTCTATGTTCCGATTGCTCTGCCGACAACCAGACTTCAGTACGCCTATTTCGAAGAAATGTCCGGTCGTGTCGATGTGGCAAAGGACATACACGATGCGATCCTCTTTCAGTTACCAGGCCATGTCGAGACAATTGTCTCTCTGGCGAACATAAATCGTCGTCATTCAGGTCTGGCGGCCGCTGTTGCCGTGTACCAAAGTCACCTGGAGTCTCCGAACGTCGAATCTGCAGCAAAAGCTGCCCTGGTGGCTGAATGGGCGAAACTCCTCTGGAAAGTTAAGGGCTCGACGGAAGAGGCTCGCCAGGTTTTCCAGAAGAACCAACACTTGTACCTCGACAGCCCAGCTTTCTGGTCCAGCTACCTGCGTTTCGAAATTGAACAACCCACAAGTAGCGAGACAGAGCAACAGCATTATGAGCGGATTCGGCGGGTCGTGGACGAGATCCTCACCAAGAGCGCCCTACCAGAAGCCATCGTTCAAGAGCTCATCACGACTTACATGAGGTATCTGCTTGAGCGGGGCACCAAAGATGCAGCCAAGGAATATATGAACCTCGATCGCGAGATCAATGGGCCAATATCAGTCCAGAAGATGCCCAAGACGAACCTGGAGACGGGCAAGACACTTGTTGGAGCTGTCAACGGACAGGTATGTTTTGCCTTTTTTACCGCATTTAATCCCAGACAACCCCGACATTCTTACTGAGACCGCTCGACAGCCTCTCCCCATCCGATATCCCTGATTATGTTACGCGATGGACGGACAGAATCTGTCCCACCACACGTGGTGACAGTTTGACTACGAAGAAACGCCTCACTGACTCTCCCCATCCTGTGGTTGTCCCTGGAAAGGCGGAGTTGAAAACAAAATAATCGGGCGGGGGAAAGTGCATAAACAACATTTCGTATTGTGGAGGATTTGCTGTGTTTTGGGACCCAGTCGGCTGAAATGATAACAACCACTCGTCCCTTTGATCGGATCGTGAGCAGAGCAAAGAAAGGTTCGAAGTCCTTGTACACAAGATTCAAAGATTCAAATGTCGATAATTGCACTGAACTGAATGGAATGAACGCACCCTATCATCATCATCATCATCCTTCCGCCCTTTGGACGTGAATTTCTGTCTCCTATTATTGTTACCTATGCGGTGGTTAGGATTGACACTCTTTACACTCTCACAGACTCGGAGCGAGGCCGCTGCTCCTCACTTACTGTGGAAAAAGGTTGTGTATACATATCTCTGGGTGGCTGACTCGGTCTTAGACAGCAGTAGAGGCGGTCTCCTTTCACAGAGTCGTGCCACGATCAGGACACGGGTAAGTACAGTGTATCTTATTTCAGTGTCAACCTGATCTCAAGGACGAGCTATTTGATTTCTTCCTCCGGCACAAAGACTCAAACACATATTCATGTCAACCAAACTCTTGCAAACCTTACAGAAGCGCAACCGACCACATGTCAATTCCAGGCTTCCGCCATCATCCTTTGCTCTGAGGGTCACCAATCGCACACTTAGACACTTCTGTAAGAAACTTAATCAGTCAAGGAAGGTTCTGATGAGTTGTGGCACGGCCTCTGGTTGCCTGACCACTAATTGAGTGTCTGAGGGAAGTGACTCATCTGCTAGGCTGTCGGGTATAAAATGTCAGCACAAATCCCCGAAATGTTTCAAAGAAAGACATCACTGGCTGGTGGGATTTGGACCGAAACAATATACCTCTGAAGGATGTTGGACTGACACGGGACACAATTGCTTGTTGACCCGTGTCTTTGACTTCAGCCACGGGTATGACACATATTTTCCTTTGCTCTGGGGAGAATCCTGAAAGAAAGAGAAAAAAGCTTTCAGCCTCCGATATCACAGTTGTCTTCTTCCTTGCCCAAGGCTCCGAGTACTCTGAATATCTTCCTTGGCTGGTGGGATTTGAACCCACCGGTATATGATTCGAAGAATGATGAACTCCAGCTCTTCAAAGACACCTAGTGTCTATTGCAGCTTCCGACTTCAATCATATCTGGTGGCTCAAGCCACTGGCAAGGAAGTTGGAGAAAGACGAGACATCCTGGGTAGCCAGCAAAGAGCAGGCCTGCTCTGTTGGGATTCGACTGGGAGTGCTTGTTGGGAAGAAGAGAGGGAGAGAGGTACGAGATGCGAACAGATCTACGGCACCACGACAACGTCTGAGGGCAAGAACGATGGAGCCATGGCCCAAGAACACAGACAGGTCTCAAGCAGCATTCATTTGGGCAAGAGCGTTCATATTCCAGCAACAGCAAGGAAGGGAGGAAGGGCTGTGGTATGTATGTATACACAATATACATGACAGGTACGTATATATCCATTCCAGTGTCCGAACGAACCTATATACATACATGGCAGGTTGGTGAGTCTTCTGCTGCTGCCGCAGCTACTTCCGAGTAAATGCTGTACGAACAGGACTCAATTACAGCGTCGAGGACATGAATGGTATCTGCTTGGATGGACGAAGCTGAGGCTGCTGTGCTGGATCATAGCGAGTCGTGGTTCACCAACATCGACCCCAGCCTGATACTCTACACCAATCGCTGTCCACCTCGGGGCTTGCACTACCAACCGATTCATGAATGCTCTAGGCATTGCTTGCAATGTCGACGACCACAGCCGTAATGGCAGGCTGTCAACCCATCTAGGTGAAAACCGATCGGGTGGGTCAGTTGATTATCACTATAACGCACAACGACATAATCTCTATGACCTGTTTGGGAATAATACCAAGCTCCGCCAAAGCCTTTATGCGAGCATACACAGGTACAAGTATATCACGCTTATGATCCTCCTTCTCTAGCCCTCGATATCGCTCGGTGGCACTCACTAGGACGTATGCTGACGCGCAGAACAAACCGGCCCGCGGTGGCCACGGCGGGGATTATTTCTCAGATTATTCTTTCTCACCAAACTCGATCCAGGGGCTTGGATTGTATCTGAATCTGCTCGTGCCGCTCCTCTATCGATGGGGGACTAGACTCGGTGGAGAAATGGGTGGGTGATGTGAGGAAAACCTTTATTAGCGAGTATTTTGTACTCAGTATCATGCGCCAATCCTCCAAAGTGCTATTTCGGCAATTGGATTCACGATATATCAAGGATCTTTCTTTTGTCCGGGGCCTCAAAACCCTCGTCCAGCAGGATCGCCACGAAAAAGCCCAGGTCGGGCCATTCGACATCGCCTACCCGGTACACTCATCCTGATGGGAGGCAACAGTTGGACCCGAGGGCATTGCAGAGCGAGTGGTAATGCCTTGGAACTGAGATTTTGAACTGCACACACAGACACACACACCTTGGACTTCCTTGCGCTTGTAGTAGAGAAGAACACAAGAACGAATGAATGACGTGATCAAGTGACACTCAACCCCTATTTCATCCGCTCGTGTTATTACAGCCTCTTCTCAACTCTTGGTATGCGGAGCTGGAACCAACTCTCAAACGGGAAAGTAGCCGATCCAAATGCCACGGGGGCCAGATTGTCTCAGCAAGCGACGAGGCGGGATGGGATGACGGCGTGCGACGTGACGAGATAAGTCTCACTCGTCAGCCTCCATATTTTTGGACTTCAGCCACTGGTGGAGCTCTTCCGAGGCTTGTTAAGAGGAGCAACCTCGCATAGACTCGGCTCAGAGGGTAACCTGTTCTGTCCATATCAGCTTGGAGAATAGAGTTAGACCCATTCAGTGTTGACCACGTATACTCGGAGAGACAAAAGGCCAGATGGCAAAAGGATGAGTAATAACACTTGCGGCAGGCTCGTCAGATGTACAAAGATAGAAGTCTGTACGAGACAACAGTGGCACAAGCAAGGGGTATTGACGCTATGGCGACAAGTGTTTCACCACCGAGGGACCCAAGACATGGGAATCTAGCTGCAAAGCTAGGTACTCGTATAGAGGAAACGAGGAGATTCTGGGGGCGGCGTGGGACACGACGAGTCGGATTGATTGAAAGCTTGGAGCTGGAGATGAAGAGACTAGAAAAGCTAGCTGCCTGCACAGCCTCCAAGGTACAATAATAATGAATGGACTTCTGATGGCATAATGTCAACTGTGCGTGCAAGGAGCAGGATGTTGTTGTTTGTTTGCTTGTAGCAATTGTCCCTGCCAAGGAGAATGCCTAGGCGGTTGCCCTGCCAGTGAGAATGTATGTATACCTGGGAAGTGGCCAGTGGGTTGCCGGCGGGCGGTAGGCGGTGGGCATATGTAGGCACTTACTGTGTAGTTACGACTGAGCACCACTCCCTACCAAAACCCGGGTCTTGCCCCCCCACCACCCCCTCCGGCGCCACTCGCGAGCTGCCAGTTGGATCGGGCTTACTGGAAAAGCACCTTCCAGGCTTCTCCCCTACCCAATGCCACCAAGTGGGGGCTAAAATGGTCTCGTCAACCCTTCCAAAAAAACTGGGCCCCAGGCAAAGGACCCTGCGTGTGCGTGTTGCGCTCTTCGTATAGGGCCACATGCGGCTGGCGAGACAGCCGAGTTGAGTTTAGCGGTGACGCTGGTCGTCCTGGTGTTGCGCCTCTGATGCGCGTCCTGGTGTCCGAGACTTGCATGCACCGTTTGGTGCAGTCGAGGTTTGAATTTCAGCCCTGACCTGGATACCGCTGGTTGTCAGCAACGAAAAAGAATAATTTGGTGCTACAACTATTTTGCTGATTCCTTCCAGCTGAATCCCATTTCTCACTCACTCACTCTCACTTGCTCTCCTCCCTTGCTCTTCATATCATCCCCAAAACCCAGAACTTGCCCTCCTTGCCCGTGGCCTGCAATCCTGCCTTGACCGCCCCTCCTTTATTGTCTGCAACAAGTCTATCCTTTCCTTTGTCCGTCGACTGGACCACGACCCTATAACAAGGCTGGCTGAGCGTGCTTTGTGACCGTTCTCTTCTCTTCTCACCCCAATTGAGATCAATCTCTCCAGACATCCGCTGCACCAATCTTCAAGATGTGGTTTGTATTCCCGCCAACCATCCCGGGGCAATGAGAATGAGCTGACGGAATATCAAGTGGCATCTTTGGCTACATCAACTATCTGGTCGAGAAGGACCGCAGGTTTATTCTAGACACCTTGCTCAATGGTGGGTAGTGCCCCGTACATTCCAACCACTCATCTTTCTAACATGGAATTGTTCAGGTCTGGCCCGTCTCGAGTACCGTGGCTACGACTCCGCCGGTCTAGCGGTCGATGGCGACAAGAAAAATGAGGTTTTTGCGTTTAAAGAGGTGGGAAAGGTGGCCAAACTCCGAGAGCTGGTTGAAAAGTCTGGCGTCGACATGACCAAGGTCTTTGACTCTCACTGCGGTATTGCTCACACCCGATGGGCCACCCACGGCCAGCCTTCCAGACTCAACTGCCATCCTCACAGGTCAGTTCAGGAACATTTTCATGTGCATGTGCGAGGCATCCCTCGCTAACCGTCTCACAGATCTGACCCCAAGTGGGAGTTTGCTGTCGTCCACAACGGCATCATCACAAACTACAAAGAGTTGAAGGCCTTGCTCGAGGGCAAGGGCTTCAAGTTCGAGACCGACACCGACACCGAGTGCATTGCGAAGCTTGCCAAATACCTCTATGACCAACACCCAGACATTGATTTCACCACGCTCGGAAAGGCTATCATCAAGGAGCTCCAGGGAGCTTTTGGCCTGCTCATGAAGTCCGTCCACTACCCCCACGAATGCATCGCCGCCCGAAAGGGCTCACCTTTGGTGGTGGGAGTGAAGACTGCCAAAAAGATGAAGGTGGACTTTGTGGACGTCGAGTACTCTGAAGATGGTGGTGCTCTGTCTGCTGAGATTGCAAACCACAATGTTGCAGTCAAGAAGTCTACAGCTGGACTCTTGGCCCCCAACGGCATGTTGGCTCCCCCTGACAAGTCGCTGCTCCACCGATCACAATCCCGGGCATTCTTGTCGGATGATGGTATGCCTCAACCAGCCGAGTTCTTCCTCTCGTCTGATGCTTCGGCCCTGGTCGAGCACACCAAGAAAGTTTTGTATCTTGAAGACGATGACATTGCCCACATCCACGATGGCCAGCTCAACATTCACAGATTGACCAAAGATGACGGTACCAGCAACGTGCGCGCTATCCAGACCATCGAGCTTGAACTTCAAGAGATCATGAAGGGCAAATTCGACCACTTCATGCAAAAGGAAATCTTTGAACAGCCCGAATCTGTCGTCAACACCATGCGTGGTCGTTTGGATGTTGCAAACAGAACCGTCACTTTGGGAGGTCTCAGACAATACATGAGCACCATTCGAAGATGCAGAAGACTCATCTTCATCGCTTGCGGTACCAGCTACCATTCTTGTATGGCTGTCCGGGGTGCGTTTGAGGAGCTCACGGAAATCCCCATTTCTGTCGAGTTGGCTTCCGATTTCCTCGACAGACAGGCCCCAGTTTTCCGGGACGACACCTGCGTGTTTGTGTCACAGTCTGGCGAGACCGCCGATTCGCTCATGGCTCTGCGATACTGCTTGGAGCGAGGTGCTCTCACTGTGGGAATTGTCAACGTGGTCGGCTCGTCCATCTCCATGCTGACCCACTGCGGTGTCCACATCAACGCTGGACCTGAAATCGGTGTCGCCTCGACCAAGGCTTACACTTCTCAGTTCGTGGCCATGATCATGTTTGCTTTGTCCCTGAGCGAGGACCGCCTCTCCAAGGCCCAGCGCCGTCATGAAATCATTGATGGCCTGGCCAAGGTCAGCGAACAATTCCGCGAAATCCTCAAACTCAACGACTCGATCAAAGAAATGTGCGCCAAATTCCTGCAGAACCAGAAATCTCTCTTGCTCCTCGGCCGAGGCAGCCAATACTCAACAGCTTTGGAAGGTGCCCTGAAAATCAAGGAGATTTCATATCTCCACTGCGAAGCAGTCATGTCTGGAGAGCTCAAGCATGGTGTTTTGGCGCTTGTCGATGAGAATTTGCCCATCATTATGATCCTGACCAGAGATGACATCTTCCCCAAGTCACTGAACGCTTATCAACAAGGTAAGGACTGTCCCCGCTTCCATCCCGATGGTCATAGCTAATGATTTGACAGTGATCGCTCGTGGTGGACGACCTATTGTAATCTGCAACAAGGACGACCCAGAATTCCCCCCCTCCAAGACGGAGCGCATTGAGGTGCCAAAGACGGTCGACTGCTTGCAAGGCTTGTTAAACGTCATCCCACTGCAACTGATTGCCTACTGGCTTGCGGTTGCTGAGGGACTGAACGTGGATTTCCCGCGCAACTTGGCCAAGTCTGTCACTGTCGAGTAAATTTGTTTTGCGGAGAGCCTGCAGCGTGTGCGCGTTCTGCTTATTGTGCTATGAGGGATTATCTCAGGGAATGAACTGGGAACACTACCAGAGGGAGAATGAGTACTTTGTAGAAAGTAAATGAGATACCGGTAGAAATTACTTTAAGGAGTTTTTAGAACAAAATATTCCCTGACTTGCCCTCCTGTTCCTAGAGAGAAGATGTTGACATTAAAGGTGTATTTAGTACTTGCAGTCTGTTGTTGTCATTGCCAGGCTGATTTGGAGAAAGTTGGAGAAGTTGCTTGACGAACTCGAAAGGCTGCATTTGGCAATTGAAGGACACATTACAATTCTGTGCCCCAAGTCTCTTTGGCACCTCCTCAAGCTCTTCATATGGAAAGCAATGTCATTAGATGAGTCAATTGTGGCCAAGTCGGTTCTGCAAACGGGTGAAAATGCATCAGCCAGTCGTCGGCTCACACGCGCTCCGTCCTCTCCCAGCACGCGACGTTCGTTCTCTATCGCGCCTCACAACGTCTTCCTATTCTTAGTCGGGTTACGATTGGTCAATGCCTTGACGACAAGGACATTCTTCCAGCCAGACGAGTATTTCCAGGCCTTGGAGCCAGCATGGCAGTGGGCATTTGGAGGAAGAGCAGGAGCGTGGATAACATGGGTGCGATAAACCGACAAAAGGCATACAGACAGTGAAGGAAAGCTCATGACGGACAACAGGAGTGGAAGAACCATCTGCGATCAGCGATACACCCTGCCATCTTCGGGCTATGCTACCAGCTGGCCGACACCGTTGCTGAGCGCTTGATATTGCAAAGCCCTGTTCGCTCAGAGGTCCTGCTTGCTGCCCCAAAGACCTTACAGGCATTCTTCGCCGCGACAACGGATTTCTATACCTGGAGACTTGCGTCCTACGTCTACGGGAAAGACTCGGCAGCAGCTCTGGCAACGTTGTTGTTAACTGTGGTCAGCCCGTGGCAATGGTTCTGTTCTACGCGGACATTCTCCAATTCGTTGGAAACGACCTTGACCGTCATTGCCCTGTACAATTGGCCCTGGCATTGGATGCTTCCACAAACTGGAAATCACGACGCCGCCAAGGCTCCGCTTGAGAACCACGGGATCCGCTCTCGAGACGAATCTGCGGCGGAAAAGGGCTTGACAGACGAGTTGACCCGATTGCGAAGGGCGCTGTTCTGCGCTGCTGTGGCGACAATCCTCCGGCCCACGAATGTTCTAATATGGATGATCTTGACATTCACCACCTTCATTCGGGATTGGAACTCGATAGGCCCAAACTGGGCCGAGTGTATCCTGTTCGTGCGCGAAACAGTGCTCTGTGGGAGCATGGTTCTGGCCTCTTCGACCATACTTGATCGACTATTCTACGACGCTTGGGTCTTCCCACCCCTGAACTTCCTCCAGGTCAATGTTGTCCAGTCACTGGCAAGCTTCTACGGCAACAATGATTGGCACTATTATGTTTCCCAAGGGTATCCTCTTCTTTTAATGACGGCACTACCATTTACATTGACCGGACTGTTTCGAGCCTTGAGCTCAAACGATGCATATTTTGCACAGACACCTCCGGCTGGCCGCGGTGCACTTCGCTCTCTCTCCATCATATGTCTTCTTGTCCCAGCGGCCTTCTCAGTCATCGCACACAAGGAAGTGCGCTTCATCTATCCCTTGCTTCCAGCTCTACATACTGTGACTGCCTTGCCTTTGGCGTCCTTCTTCCAGCCGTTGACAACCTCGTCTTGGTCGTCTCACATGACAAAGCGACTTGTCCTCCTCCTTATTCTGTCCCTAAATCTCACAGTATCATACTACACCACCCAGATCCACAATTCCGGAATTATCGACCTAACACACTACCTACGTCACGAGTTCGAGGCGGTCTATCTTGCCTCTCCCACACCCTCAAACATGACGGTTGGCATGTTCATGCCCTGTCACTCCACCCCATGGCGCTCACATTTACAATACCCCCCGACCTCGACCCACCCAGGCATCCGAGCTTGGGCTCTGACGTGTGAACCGCCACTCAATCTCAACGCGACCGAGAAATCAAGCTATTTGGACGAAGCAGACCAATTCTACGCCAACCCTTCGCTCTGGGTGAAGAAATACATGTCACGCCACCCTCCACAACGCAAGGGCAACACTAGACCCAGCGGCTCGGTGGCAGGAATTCTCGCGGCCCCAAATATACAGGGTAAGATCGACACCATACCTTCCGATCTCCTGGAGAGAGAGCGGGCAGAACATTTCTGGCTCACCAGCGGCCAAGGCCGAAAGCCATGGCCAGACTACCTCGTCTTCTTCGCCCAGCTAGAACCCTCTTTACAAGTAATCCTCAGGGGGAGCGGATATGGCGAATGTGAGCGACTGTTCAATTCTCACTGGCACGACGATGGGAGACGGCAGGGCGATGTAGTTGTGTGGTGCCTCGATCCTGCAAGACAGCGGGAACAGAACCAGAAGACAACCCTGGGAATCGAGACCAAGTCTAGTATCGACATGGATGAATTCGAAGACGCAATCCACGACCCATCCGCGTTGGGAGATACAGGGAAGACGGGGCAGAAGGTCCTCGGCGGCGGCGGCGGCGCTGCGAAGGGAAAAAATAAAGAGCCGTTCAGGAGGGTGGTCGAGAAGCCCTTTTGGAAAGTCAGAGGGCCAGAAAACTGATTTGTGCCGCTCCGTCATTGATTGTGGACTGTCAAAGTAAAATCATAAACGATAAATGAATGGTACCCATACCAGACAAGCCTCCAGGCGCCTCCTTCATCTTCTTCCTCCTTTTCCTTTTCCTAGAGAATGATTGAATACCTCACGAGTCCCTCCTGTCTGCGGCCGCTTTAACTTGTCACGTGATGATCATCCACGTGAGGTGTCGTGGGAGCCTTTGGGAGCCGCGGAGCCTCAATTCGGCCCCCACCGGCCTCTCCTGCCAACGTCCGCCCACTACCCACACCTGCCACACTTCCTTCATCACCTCGTATTTATGAGGTACTCAGTCAGACACTCACATTACACTTACCGACTTACCTACACCTTCGTCGATACAAACCTCCTAGTCTCCTAATGGTCAGCCTCGCCTAATCGACACAGAGGCCTCGAGTATCATTTTACCTGCTGCCATGGATTGTCTACGGGTCAGCGATGCTGCCTGCGGAACAGTAGCACCTACGGCCTTTGGCTTTTGCTTGGAGCCTCGACTTGGTTTGATGCTTGCTATGTCCTCGAATTTTTTGCCCCTTACATAGTATCGGTTCTGCTTGTCTGGATGCCGTTCACCTTTACTTGTACGCAGGATCGTCTCCGTCTTTATAGCTGTCGACTTTGCCTACGAATGAACGAACGATCCTCGAGGACTGAAAAAGAGACGAGAAGGGGCGGGATCCCCACACTCACATGTCGATCAGTCAGACAACTCATATTACACTTACCCACCTCTACATCTCTTACACCTTCATTGACACAGACCTAGTCCTCACAGCGCTTCCAAACATTGCTCAGCAAAGCGGCCAGAGTAGGCACTAACCGAGTTTAGGCAAAGCTTGGGGCAAACGACAAGCAGGAAGGCTTTGATCATAATGCTCGAACTGGTAAAACCGCCTCAGAAGTACATTGGCCGTATGAAGCCACTACAACGTGGTCGGGTCCAATAGGTCTTGCAACACAATAGTTTCAATGGAGGCGCAAACAGCAAACTCCGATAGGTTGGACCCCCCGGTCCCGATCCTCCCCCAGAATCCCAGTCAAGGCTGCAAGAAGACAAAAGTGGCAGAGCTTGCAACCCTCTGCAGCGAAGCGCTATATCCTAGCCAGTCAAAGACGCCTTCGAGAGTAGCTGAGCATATCTCACATGGATGGGATGCAGTAAAAGGGTGCTCATCCACCCTACAATTGCGGACTCAATAACTGCAAAGCACTCAGCCGCAAGTGGATGTGGCAGCCTTCCATGCCGCCCTGGACAGGTGAGCGATATGCGCAAGCTGGAATTGCAGCCCGCTCGCAGCCCTCCTTTTGAGATTTTCTTTGGAATGAACATACTCTGGATTGCTATAATCGCTGTACAACAAGGTATCGGGATTACTTTTCGTCGAAGCGCGCACATTGTCAGCCGGCCCGCTGTTTTTCGACGCCACTCGGGTCCATATCGACACCCGGCGCTCAAGCCTCAGCCTTACGCGTCCGTCATCCATCAAACATGGCAGATACCACTGCCCCTGCAGAGGTGCAGCAAGACTATGGACCCGATATCAGTGAGGATCCATCAAGTATGGTAGATTCTACTTCCCCTGCAGAGCCGACGCAAGACTATGGACCCGATATCAATGGGACTCAGGAAGATTTCAATGAGAAGTTGTTGCAAGCAGCACAAGACGGTGATGCTCAGGAATTGATTCGCTATCTTAAAAGGGGGGCAAACATCAACACGATGGACGAATCCCGTTGCACTGTCCTCCACAAAGCCGCACTGAACGGAAGAACAGAAGTAACGCGCATTCTGCTCGCCCAGAATAACCTCGATGTCAATGCGCAGGACGAGGATGGGCAGACGGCCCTATACGGAGCCACTGTAAGGAAAGAAGAAGCTATCATAGAGCTGCTGTTGAAGGCTGGTGCAAAAATCACAATAGAAACCACTACGGGAGACACAGCTCTCCACCAAGCAGCATCAGAAAACTACCTACAAGGTGTCGAACTTCTACTTGGCAAGGGAAAGACAACGACTATCAAGACCAGCAAGGAAGAGACGGCTCTGCTTGTGAATGATATAAATGGTCAGGGAGACTCAGTTCTGCATGTAGCCGCTCGACATGGCAGCGAAGACGTCGTCAAGCTTCTTCTCAAGTGCCAAGTCGATACGACAGCCTTGGACAAGGGTCAAAAAACAGCATTATACAGGGCTTTTGAATACGAACAGATCTACGTTGTCAAGCTCTTACCTCACCAGGACGACTCACTCAAGTCCCCAGATACCAACGAGATGATACGACTAGCGTATGCAACCTTTAGCGGTGATTTTCCACTGGTACGGGAGTTGATGAGCAAAGAAGATTCAGTGAACAAAGAAGATTCAGTGAGCACGATCCTCTTACACTGGGCAGCAGCCGGAGGATCGCAAAAGATTGCAGAGTTGTTACTTGAAAAGGGCTTTGATGTCTCCAGCCTATATCAATATGGCACACCCTTACATTTCGCCGCCATAGCTGGGGAAGAAGAGGTTTCACAGCTCCTTCTCAAAAATGGTGCCGATGTCAACGCGAATGATCAATATGGCATGACGCCCCTTCACTGGGCTGCCGAAGGAGGCTCCACAGAGGTTGTCAAGCTACTATTGGAGAGGCAGTGTGTCGCTATTATTGATTCAGTATCAGACGATGGACAAACGGCATTACATTGGGCCACATTAACGGGAGAAAAAGGTGTCGTTGAGCATCTATTGGAGAAGGGTGCGGATTTCGAGTTGAGGGATGAGGATGGATGTACGCCTTTGCACAGGGCCTGCGTTGAAGGTCATGCAGAGTTGATAGATATCCTGATTAAAAAGGGTGCAAACTCCGAATCAAGACAACGAAATGGGGGAACGCCATTGCACCTGGCTGCTTATAACAACAAGACGGACGCCATCAGAAAACTACTGAATCACAACGTTGTCAGCAATGCCAGGGACGACGACGATTGGACTGTCTTACACTGGGCTGCAGACAAAGGAAGCAAAGATGCAATGGAATTAGTATTATCATCATTGAAGAAAGAAAGCACAGGGATGATTGCAGCCGAGAACAAGGGCGGGAACACAGCCTTACACCATGCTTGTGCAGAGGGTCATTTTGAGGTGGTGAAACTCCTCTTGGATAAAATGAAAAACACGATCGCTGCCCAGGTCGACCGCAACAAATACGCGCTTGCTGCTGCTGCAAGGAGCGGCGCAGTAGATGTGGTACAGCTTCTAGTTGACTGGGAGGCAAATTTGATGTCTACTGGATCCGGGGAAGAAAGGAACATGTTCTCCATGACAGAGGAGCAGGCTAAGTCAGTTGGAGACATATTGTGGATGAATGGAAGTCACTGGGAAAGATCGCCGAGGTCAGCACGCTGTTCGTTGCAATGGGCAGCTCGAAAAGGAGATCAATATCTATTGGAGAGCGTCCTATCTATTGATCCCACTCTTTTGAGGGAAGGTATCCCAGAAGACGCAACAGCCGCAACACCCTTGTACTGGTCTGCATTTGGCGGTCAAGAAAAGCTTGCGAAATTATTGGCGGAGAAATTGATGGGGAGTCCCAGAAGAAAGATGCTCCCGAAGGAAGATGGACTCAAAGCGCTCAAAATTGCTGTGAGGAAGGGATACAACACCATCGCTCAGGATCTGTTGGAGATAATGTCAAATGAGCCAGGTGGAGAGACGAACAAATGGACTCCGCTTCACTGGGCAGTGCACTATCGAGATAAAAGTGTTGTTCAGGACATGCTGCGCAGTGGCGCCAACCCCGAGGAGAGAATCAACAAAGGGAAATCGGCTCTTAAGCTCGCTCAGGAGTTGAGCGCCAACGAGATCCAGACGCTTCTTGAGAATCCCTTACGGTTTCCTCGAAAGCCGGCTCCTCTGAAACTTCCAGACTCTCCAGGAGAGGGGCCGACAGATGTCTGCAACACCTTCACTGCGAATATCGTCGACTTTTCTCTCTCCGAGGGAACAGATACCACCCTTCCAATACAGAAAAGCGTCTACGACATCATATACGGGAGTGGACCAGAAAAGATAATGGAGAAAATTCGGCGGAGTTGGGATATCAAGCAGCTTGAACACCAATTCAGGTGGATACATCTTCCAGCAAACAATGTGAGTGACGGCGCCTATCCTCGACCATTGTAACCTTTGACTGATTCTGAGCAGTGGCGTTGGCTTAAGGTAAAAGAGAGAGAGAGTGCCTACCGAGTTGTTGAGCTTATCTCCTGACATTTTGGCCAGGACCTTGTGCAAAGAATCTCTAAAGACGCGAATAAAACAGACGAGGAGTATGCTCGAGTGGAAAACTTCATATCAGAGAACCGTCGCGATGGTGAACATCTGGGAGATGCACATTGCCGATTTATGAACACTGGCGTGCGCGTGAGATACTTTACCATACACTTTGTTTCTGGTCTAGCCAAGTCATTGACTATGTTTCAGTTTCATCAGATTGACTTTACCTCTAGTAAAGAGGCAAGCAGCATCTCCACGGACCGGAGACAACAGGCGGTGTCAAAGACAGATGCGCCAATCAAGAGGTCGGAACTCCCTACTGAGAAGGAACCAGACAAGCAGAGAAAATCACATCTTCCTGGACCAGAACATCAGGAGAAACGCTCCCCGAAACCCTCGGAAAACAAACATGGCGACCTCGAAGGCACTGCCACCGCAGCTGAGCACGCCGAAAATGTTGGGTCACAAATGTCTCGTGCCAACGCCACCCCCTCTAACGCCATCGAACCAAGGGCCAGGGTAGGTGGAACGGGTAATGGTGAAGTGCCTAGCGCATCGAACGAACCGGGCAAAGGCGAGACCAACCCTGAGCAGAAGAAGCCCCCCACGGCCGCGAAAGCAGGGCAAAGCATTGAGACGACCAAAAAAAGGGACAAAGATAGAGTGTATGACACTAGAGGAATGACTGGCCTGAAGGGATCCAAAATGGCAATCTGGGTAAATTGAATCCAGAGCAATGTCAGCGGTTTGCTGGGACCTGCTAACTATTCAAAGGTACCATTCGTGACTTGGGAAACTGTTCACGGCCAGAGGCAATGGCGAAAGGCTATTAGAATGGCCAAGCATGTGCAACAAGATTCGGACGGCTTCAATGTTATCAAAAAGAACGTATTGGGCTCAAGCATCAATGAAGCCTTGGCACAGGTCGATGAGGAAAAAGTCAGCCTTGGGAGGGTTAACTTCCTTTTGGACAGCTCCATCAAAGAAGTTATTAAAAACATCAGCGAAAAGACTGACAACGATAGCCGCGCCAACCTCGACGATGAATTGAAAACCCTTGAAAGAGCCATCGAACAACTGCGAGAGTCTACCCCATCTCCTTCTCTGTCGGTCTTCAAATGTCTTGAGGATCTACGAGAGGCCGTGGAAATCTACTCTGGAAAGCTCGAGACCAGCAAGGAGACTCAACTGCTACGCTATTATCTGGGTTTGTCACCGAGGGACGATGTCACAACTCATCATCTCCACGTGTCTCGTACCTTGGATCAATATCACTACTCTTCATTGCCGGACACAAGAAGACGCGACGCGGATCAAGTGGTGCGACGCTATCAAAATGCCAAATGCAGGGGGCAGCGAAGCGACGAGAACCAACGTGACAGCCAGAATGAACACAACCAGAATGAACACAACCAGAATGAACACAACCAGAATGAACACAAC